CTGTATCTAGAGCGATCGATCGATTGATTGATCGAAGAAAAGAAAGAAAAAAAAAAATACTAATAATGCTGTATGTATGTATGTATGTATATACATTAGGGGCATTGTTTTAGGTCAGAGAACTAAACGGAATGAAATACACGCATCTTTTATATATAGATATTAAATACATGAACTATTATAGTATAATATAATAATTTGACCTTATCCGGAGGCTAGATAACAAATAAATTGAATTTCTTACCTCGTCGACATATTGAACAAGAATAGTAGATGTGTGTGTCCTATACTCAACAAGTAAAAGAAAGACAAGAGATCAAAATCTACAAAAAAAAAAACGATTGAAATTAATAGTAATTTGATAAGTTTTAGTGCGATCAACCAGAAAAAAAGAAGGACTCAATCGATCATTGATCGATCGATGAAAATAAACAAACAAACTTTTCCTGACTATTTCTTCGTTCTTCCTTTCTTGTCTTCTGTCTTTAGTGATGCATCATCACTTTCTATGAAGTATTGAACAAAAAAAATTAACCAATAAAATTTTACTTAAAAATTATTAATATTTTAATATTTTTCTGTTTCAAATATTTTTATTTATGAATTTCATATTTTTGTAAACGATTATTATTTCTTTTTCTCACTAACGACCTCTATGACTTTTCATTGGTGAATCCATCAATTTAATTTAGTGGATAAAAAATGAGAGTTTTTTTTTTTCATAAATCATATTTTGAACGTATGATAAAAACCAGTTCAAGAGTTCAATTTCATTTTTGAATAAACAACTTCAAAGAAGAATTACGAATTAGAAAGAAAATCTAAATAATCTATACAGGCGAATATAGTGTTTCTCTTGTATACTTGACTTGCTTGAAAATAATATAAATGTCCGATATGCAGGAATCAAGATCAAATTAAATATAAATCTAGGCAAGATCGAACTAGAGAAGATATAATAGCTAGATCTTTTAGTACAAATGTCATAGTGAATGTTTAATTGTTAGTCAAAAAATTAATTTTTTAAAATAATTAAATTAATTTTCTAGCAAAATGTACTGCGTACAAAATATAAATTTAATTTGATTGAATAATGCATAAAAATGAGAAAAACAAAACAATAACACAGTCATTATCATTTACGATGAATTTTGACAACGAGCAGTTTTAGTGATTGATTCGATTGTATTTGTTGTTTACTTGAATTTTGATGTAACTCAAATATGTCACGTACAATGCATTGTACAGAATTCTTTTTTTTTTCAGTCGATCGATATATTTATGAAATATCACAAAATGTTTTATAGATTTCTATTTTATAATCAATATAGAAAATTTATTTGAATATTTTTTTTTTCTATATAATGTAATACGATATCGCCATGTAAACTTGGATATAATAAAAAAAAAAGTCGTTTCATTGGCCGGCAATATCTAATGATCATTAACAAGATTAATATAAAATAAAACGGAATATTAGCAATTTACAGAATATCAATTCATTGATTAAACTTTGCATTTGTTTTTTTAATTTAACGAAAAATAATTGCATTGGTTCGGTTTGATTTAGTATGTTGTTAATGATTGATATTAATTTTATATGTCTTTCAATAGCAAACTAATTAAGAAATCATTTAGTTTCATTGAGAAAAAAAAAAGTAATTTTAATTTATATGTTTTTCTGCATCAATATATATGTATTCATATGTGAAATATTCACTTTACTGTCGTTTCATGTTCTCAAAGTTATTGACATCATTATGCTACACTTTTTGAACATAGAAGTACTCTTATTACAACTTCTCTTTAATTGTTTTTCTTTGCCAGATTTGTGGAAAAAAAGAATATTTCAGAATAACATTTTTGTTTTGTATTTTTTTGTTAGAAGAACAAAACTAATTAGAAGTGACATATTCTTTTTTTTTTAAGTCGAAATACTTCAATTATTTACTTCTATTTAATTTATATATACATTACTAATCTCATTTGAATTAAAATTTGATGAATAAGAAAACAAAACAGAGACTTACAGATGATAAAAAGCAATTTTCTTTATTATTGATTCTTTCTCTGAAGGAAGGTGAGTTTAATCCTACTTTAAGTATATCTGTTCGCAACAATAGTACGAACTTTTCAGTACAAAATACAGCAAATATACGAATGAACGAATAATGTTTCAAGTTATTATGTATTCATCAAATTCATGAATATTAGCTTGTTTTTCATGCACGTATAAACCTCTTGATAATTTAGGTATGTATTAAGATATCTATGATGGTGATTCCAATGTTGTATGTTAATCTAATCTGCCTGCACATCAAGTAGATATGCGAGGATTAATCAGTTGATATATTACATTGAATTTTCGAATTTAATATAAGTTAATAGTAATATTTAATTTAAAAAAAACAAGACTCTATTACGTTCTTCTACTAGTTAGAATCACTGTATCAGCTTGAGCTGTAGTGATTTAAACACCAACTGGTGTCATTACAACTGCTCGAAGAGTAATTACTCATGTCAATTTCACATAAAATTATTCTATCAATTCTTTATCGAATAAAATTTTTTAATATAATATAGTCAAAAAGATTCTATTTCATATATATTAAAGTTAACAAATATTTGTCCATTATTCTGTGTCATTTGACGATGAAGAGCAGTCATTCAAATAGCAATTGGTGTTTAGAACATGAATAATGATTTCTGTTATTGCTAATCTATTTGTTCAGGTGCTTCAGAAAATGAATAGAACCATATATATGTAATCATTTTTCTGGTACTAAAAATTTGAGTGATTATATCATAATATGGAATGACATTTGATGGTCATGTGATGTCAGTGAAAGTCATCTTACGAGTACTAATGCAGTAGTAATCATAGTCGATGATTTTATCTATGCTGGAAGCAGCACATCAATGCATTCTATATTACATCCAATGTCAAAGTATGTTTTAAATCTTCTTATCTCTCAACAAATTATATTGTCATATATCTTTTATTCATGTAGTTTCATCTATACGTATCAAACAGCAGCTAAAGCGTGTAACATTACACTCGCTATTGTGGGTAACTGTCATACGTAATCGAGCTTGTATTGGTAAATTAAAATTATCTGAGTCATTATAATGACAAGAAGCTTTGTTTTTTTTCAAGTGTTTCTATTAATGAAATATCAAATTAAGTTGATCGTGTTGCTCTCGTGTGAATAATCCAAGAGATTATATTATCAGTTTTATTACTACATCAACTATTTACATGAGCAAAATAGTTTTAGATTCTGTCGCTAGAATAACTAATCAATTATATATTATATTTATCATGAATAGTAACAGATGATCAGACAAGAAATCAAATTAATACTTTCAATTTTTTTCTAAAGTATCCGTGTTTACACAAATTGATGAGATATTTTGTACTACTTCTATTGATCAAAGAAGACTGGCAGATTCACAAAATTGTATTAATTTTTTGTTGTCGGCTATTCTGCGCTTAATTTTATTATTCTAAGACTTGTATATGGTATGTTATCTTCGATTTGCATTATAATGCTAGCGATGTTCTATTTTACTACATTTAATAAGATATTCAATCCAAAATATTTTGCGGCAACTGTTTGACAATGTAATTTTGCCAATTGAATAACTTCTCGTCAAGCATAATAAATAGAATAAAATGTTACATTTACATTTCATGTCTAAGATATTATTCTTTTGAACTAACATTACTTAATCCAATTATTGTAGAGTAGAATGTACGAATTAGTCTTCTTAATTAATTATCATTTTTATATGAAATTACGATCTACTTTCTATTACAGTCTATGTAGAGTACTGAACAGTGTCTGTAGATGTTTGGTTACTTATTTGTTATACTTATTAGTAGACAAAATAATATAGGCAATATAAGATGGATTAAGAATGTTATTAGTACAAAAAAACAAAAAAACTTATGTCAAATTGATATTCGAAAATAATATTTGTTCTTATATTCTCTTTAGTTAGTCAAACATTTCATCTAATATTATATATGTAATTTCTCATTTTTTTTAGAAATATAAATACTAATCAACATGGTCATGTTCTTTTTTTTAGAACAAATAATGTAAAAAATGTTCGAACTTACGATATATAATGTGAATATTTTATTTCAGTTTTCTCCACGGGAGCATATTTAACTAGATTTGCATTTTTGATTTTAATTTCTTGGAAGAATAAGCAATATATTGAAAATCAAGATCTCCTTGAAAAAATTCTATTTTCATTTGATTAATCGAAATTAAAATAAATGTATGAAAGAATAATCTTGCAGTCAGATATTTTATAGACAATATGATTTTCTTGAAATGTCGTTTTTCCCCCAAAATTTTCGAAGATTTTCATTACCTTCTGCTTAAAAATTATTTTTTCTTTTCAATAAAAGTGGAATTTCTGTGTTAATGCTTTTCTGACTGTGCATCCTAGATTTCTCGAAGGAGCTTCATTGTAGTTAATGACTTTTTTCTTTGCTTGAAAGAGTATGCAAAATTGCAGTGATTAACAACGCCTGGTTTTTTTAATATTATATAAAAATACACTTCTTTAAATAGACGAGCATTTTTTGAGAATTTTCCGAGGTACTGAACTTGCTATCCTTTTTCTCCGCATGAAAAGTAAGAATTTACCAACAATGTTACATACATAGAATGAGGATTCACAGAGATAACTTCTACTATATATAAGTCACAACAAATACAAGTTGATATTAAGGTTATATTCATTTGAAGAAAACAATGTATAAATGTTGAAATTACAATTAGTGATTTAGACATGACGATATTAAGAAACTATATTTTAAAAAAAAATAAGAGTTCATTGTATAGAAAAATGAAAAAAAAAACTTTATATTAAAATTATAATTCTACATTATATTAATTAAAGAAAATATTTGGATGTATGAGAAAAATAATTCATAAATGAATATCAAACAATTCTTTTTGCTCAATTCATGATTATTCTATCTAGTGTTTATCATTATTTTCATTATTTAAATAAGTTGGATTAGAATAACTTTGATCTGTTATTGTTATTTGACGTTGTTTTAGATCAATTGATGATAACGTCGCCATTTCATATGGTGGTGTTTGTTCTTCATCTTTTTCTTTTATCTATGATAAACAATAAATATTAAATAATCAAAATTTCATTTGACTTACTTGAATAGAATCTGTTTCATAACGAACACCAAATCGTAATTTAGATAAGATTTTTTCAGGTAAAAATGGAAAAAGAATATCAAATACAGGTATCATTAATTTCGGATCAATATCTTCTGGTTTTCTAAAACCTAATAAATATAATTATTCTTTATCATTTTATATATTTTATTTTCTTCTTAATTCTACCTGTAAAATAACTAACTACTAAACTAACAATTACTGCAGTAAAGATTGAAAACATTGTATACCAAAAATAACTCATACCATAAAATCGAACTAATGGATTTTTTCTACATTAAAAACAAAAGAAATATCGTAATAAAATCAATTGTTACTATCTTAAAATAATTCAACAAACTTGACAATTTTGTGTATAACAGTTGTCATTGTTGTAGTTTTACTCCATGTTGATGAATAAATTGTAGTATTGAATAATGCACTCATAGTTTCATTTACTTCCAAACAACCATCAATACGTGTTGGTAAACGAAATGAACGCATTTGATGTCGAAGTATTTGTGAACCAAAAAAAATCCATATTTGAACCAATACACTTACAATTAAAGCAACTAATGCACCCTAAAATTTTTATACTTTTTCTTTTTTGAATAAAAAAAAAAAAAACTTTCAATAATACCATTGAATTAACCCAAGGAAGAAAAAATCCAATCATAAAAATAGCACTTATAGGTCCAGCTAGAACACCAAATAAAGATAAAGCTGCTTGAAGAAGATTACCAAGTAATGAAACAAGATAAGTTATTAATATACAAACAACACCAAAGACAAGTGCTAAAACAAAATAATTTCAAATAAATAAATTTGTTTATTTTTTTTATTTTTATTAAACTTACATAACATTTTTGAATACCAAACATCTTGTTTATCAGTCATTTCTTTTCGATAAAAAAATTTTATTATATCAGAAAGAACAACTGCTGCTAAACTATTCAAACCCGATGATAAAGTACTAAAAGTATTATTATAGAATTTAAAATTCAAAAGAATTAAACTAAATTTCTAATTTTACCTTAATGCACCACTAAATACACATGCAAGAAAAATACCTGGTAAACCTTTAAATCGTTTTAATGTTTCCATAACAAATAATGGATAAAGCTACAGAAAAAAAGAAAACATTTTTGTAATCTTCAAGAAACAAAAACAAAAAAAGTATACTTGATCTGTCTGTTTTATTATTCCAGTTTTTAGTGGATCACAAGCATAATATTTTGCAAACATAACAAGACCAACACCACAACAAAGTGAAAGAATAAATATTAAACCAACTAAATTAAATAGTAATGC